TCCAGTCTGGGCGACCGAGTGAGACTCTAACTCAAAAAAAAAAAAAGAGTGTGGTGGAAGTGGGCACAACCAGTCAGACCAGACCCTGCAGCAGGTCTTGGAGTCCCCAGATATTAATGCTTTAATTGCTAGATTATGGTGTGTTCTGGAGAGGGCTGGCATGGCAGAAATCTTAACAAGAGTCAAACTGGACCTTGTAAACCACTAGGAGGACCTCAGGAGTTTTTTGAAAGCAGGCAAATAGATGGAGGCTTTTAAGGAAGGTTTTTCAAAAAAGATTGCATATAAAGGGGTTTCAGTTAACTTATAGTTAGGCAGAAAAATTAAACTCATCCTAGAATGGAAGCTCCTTTACTCTCACACAAATTGTAGTCTACATTGTCATTGTTTAGTAGTCTTAGGAAAAGTGACATTTTTTAGATTGCACAAATATTATCTGGTGGTGGTGGACAAAGCTAGTAGCTTTAAATATCTGTGAAAGTTTGTCACTTAAAGTTAATAGGTAGCCTGGGTTTGGCAAGTCAAGCCTGTAATCCCAGAGCTTTGGGAGGCTTAGGTGGAAGGATTATTTTAACCCACGAATTCGAGGCTGCAGTGAGATATGATGGGTTGCCCTCCAGCCCGGGTGATAGAGCAAGACCCTGTCTCTAAAAAAAAAAAAAAAAAAAGAAAATGAAAAAAAGAAGTAAGAGTGTTCTATCCTCCAAGTATTCCAGTTGATTGAGGTTATTTCTGATGGTTGGTTCCATGGGGAAGATGTGCACCCTTTCAGACAGAACAAGATTCCCTGTGGTCTAGTCTAACCCGAAGAATAAAGGTATTGGCCATTTGTGTTCCTCTTCAGGGTTCAGAGATGGGCAGTGAGAAGGAGCAGAGTCCAGAACCACACCTGCCTGAGGAAGGGGAAGGGGGCAGACCTTGGAGAGTGGATGCCTTAGAGGGTTCTCGGATCCCACCTGGGGAGGAGCATGGGCAGGAGATCCTGTCAGAGGGGCCACAAGAAACCCATCCAAAAAAGCCATGGCAGAAAGTCACTGCCCCAACTGGAGAACCAGGGAACCTCCTTGCTCATCCAAGGCCCGAGGCAGACGAGAAGCCCTTCATATGTGCCCAGTGTGGCAAAACCTTCAATAATACCTCCAACCTGCGAACACATCAACGAATTCACACTGGCGAGAAGCCTTATAAGTGTTCTGAATGTGGTAAGAGCTTCTCAAGAAGCTCCAACCGCATCCGGCACGAGCGGATCCACCTGGAAGAGAAGCACTACAAGTGTCCCAAGTGTCAGGAGAGCTTTCGGCGGCGCTCGGACCTCACCACGCACCAGCAAGATCACCTAGGCAAGCGACCATACCACTGTGACATCTGTGGCAAGAGCTTCAGCCAGAGTGCCACACTGGCTGTGCATCACCGGACCCACCTAGAACCAGCACCCTACATCTGCTGTGAGTGTGGGAAGAGCTTTAGCAACAGCTCCAGCTTTGGTGTGCACCATCGCACCCACACAGGCGAGCGGCCTTATGAGTGCACCGAGTGTGGGCGGACCTTCAGCGATATCTCCAACTTTGGAGCACACCAGAGGACCCATAGAGGGGAGAAGCCCTACCGGTGCACTCTGTGTGGGAAACACTTCTCCCGGAGCTCAAATCTCATCCGCCACCAGAAAACACACTTGGGTGAGCAGGCTGGGAAAGATTCCAGCTGAAGGAAACCCCCATTTAGAGAGGGAAAGAACAAGAGATGCCAGCCTAGTGGAGAGAGATCTTTAGGATCTGTTGCTGCCACCTTGACCTCAAGCCCTTCATCCCGTTTTGGAGAATGACTTCCTATTGCCTCTGAAGCAGGATCTCCAAGAAGTCCTGAGAAGGGAGTCTGAGTAAAAATCCTTGCCTCTTTCCAGGCCAATATCTTGCCTTGGAAAGTCAGAGGACCCAATCTTAGTTTTACCTCCTTGGGGTGAAAGAGAAATAGGGTAGGCTCGGAACATGCTCAAGCCATTAGGGCAACTGTCCCCTGACCTTTGAGGAAGTACCTGTGAGATGGGCATCACTGTCTGAAGGTTCTCCAGATGGTCTGTGAATTGCTTAGGGCATACTGCAGTGGCCTGTTAGTTCCTACCTCTTGTGCCCTAACTTTGCTTCTAGGTCTCTGGGTGAGGAGGAGTGACCTTCCCAATGGAAGGGGCCTCCTTGGTCTGGAGAAGAGATCTGAGGCCCTGTCTTAGGAATGAAAGGGAAGCCCTCAGGGAGCCATGATTTAGGGACCTTCATACTCACCCATGTTTGTTACTTGTTATCCCTACCCAACCTGCCTTTGGTTCCAAGAGTGATTAGCAGTAAAATCCTTCATTGAAAAGGACCTGTGTACTTATTTGGGGGATTGGGAAGCTGGGGAGATTGTTCCACCAAAGCGACTCTGAAGGGAGTTGAATTCTAAGAAAGAGGTGGGTGGCTGCTCTGGAAAGCAAAGGAAAGCAGACTGAGATCTGGGGCTTTTGAAGAGAAGAGGGAAAGGAAAGGAACTAACATTAATTGGGAATCCACTACATGCTATTGATTCTGTTAGTCATGTTTACATTCTTTATCTCATTTAGTTGTCACAGCAACCCTCAAGAGAATAAGTCAGGAAATGGAGGTGAGGAAAGGTGAAGTCACACAGCAGGTACGTGGTAGAGCCTCCCTGACTCCCAGCTCCTGCTCTTTTCACTACATTCACCTTGTTGAGTGACTCCTCCTTCAGAAGCCACTTAGGAGACTGGCCTAGAGGTGGGAGCCAGTGTGCCCTCTTAATGTGGCCTTGGTCCATTCGCTCAGTGGGAAGTCAATACCAAGCCTGAGGACCTTTTCAGCTTTAGATTGTTGATTGAGCACCTGTTCTGTGCCTAGGAAAAATTGCAGTGGCAGGGAGTGTGGGGTGAGGGATGGAATAAGATGAGAGAAATCTGAAGGCCCATGATGAATATCTTTGCTCTTAGTAGCAATAGTTTAGTTTTCAAGGCTGGGACAGCTTGGCAAGGATTTTGTCAGGTTTCCTATCCTCCTGGTTTAGGGCTGCCTCCACATGGCAGACTTCAGGGTTTTCTATGTGGAAGTTTGGTGTTCACTCAGCTTTCCTCTAACAAATATAAAGGACCCTTTTCTACCTTTCATCAGTCTGGGGCCCTGCTCTGCTAGAGTGAGAGACCCTCTTCATTTGTAGCCAGTTGGCAGAATGTGATTCTGGCACCATGCTTAGAACTGACACCACAGATGGGGACCCTGCTGCCTGCCAGTAAGGAATGTGCTATGAACTTTATAGTCATTATCGCGTTGGATTCTCAAAACAGCCCTGTGAAGTAAGAATTATCTGCATTTGTCATATGTGGAAACAGGCTGACATAGAAAGTGACTTACCCAAGATTACAGAGCAAGTGGCAGGTTTAGGAATGGTACCTACTTCTGCCCATATCCAAAGCCTGTATTTTTTCCAACTGTAAAAGAAGATTTCTTAAATGATTCCCTATGTTTGTAGAGCACCTTACCATTAACAAAGCACTTTTATTTTATACACATTTTTCTATTCTTTGATAATTTGAACACAAAGTATTTTATACAGTTACCTAAACTTGCACATTGAATTGGCATACACCCTAATAATAAGTCACCATCTTTCAAATACCACTGAGTGCCAGTTATTGTACACCTTTTATCTCTGAGGTTCATACTATCCCATTTTCAAGATAAAATTCTGTGAAGTTAAATGACCTGACCCATTGGGAGAGCTGAGATTTAAATCAGGTGTGTCTGATCCCAACACCAAGCTCTTCATTATACTCACTACCAAGCTAGATCTACTGGTCTCCTCTCAGTCTGGGAAGCTTGGGCAACTCTCCAAAAACACTGAATATTGACACATACTTTACACTTCTCTCTCCCTCCTAAGGGATAAGTCAAAAGTTCCAGACCTGGAGCCCTCACTGACAACTGCTGTGACTTTTCGTGAGCTTCTGCTGCCAGTCAGACCCAGGAACAATGTACCAGGTCCCAACTCTGATCTTGGAGAGTGACTTCCCAGCCAATATAAATTGCCCTTTCTTGACCCTGACTCAGGCTAGGGGTTTTGTGTTGGTTCATGCTTTTGAGTCCTGACTGGTTCATTTATTTACTCTCAGACTTCCTTTACTTTTTTCTTCATTCTCTTTTTTCTTTCCCTTCCTTTCTCCCTTACTCTTTTCATCCTTTCCATCTCTTCCCTTCCTTTCCCTCTTTTCCTCCCTTCCTCTTGTCCTTCTTTCTCTTCCTAGTAACTAGAAATACTAATGTTGAAGACAACACAGCCCTTGTGTTTTCTTGTGCAGGAGTTGCCACACAAACCCAGAGTTGCAATGCAGGATAGTAGGTGTCACTACAGCTGTACCTAAGGTGCTGTAGAAGCCTAGGGGAGGGCCTTAACCTGGTCTGTACCAGACATGGGGGCTCAGGAATAAATGAGACAATCCTTGCTGCAAGGAACACAACAAGAGACATTACTATGAACAAAGTGCTTAGGCACCACAGGTGGGAATGGCTAACTCTTCAGAGGGCAGAAGAGGATGACTGAATTTGATCTGAAGGAGTAGGTGTTTATTAGGCAGAGAGAAGAGGAAGATTATTTCAGATGGGAAGAAAGGCTTAGTGTTTTAGGAAGTAGTGAAGTGTTTGATATAGTGTTTTGTGTGAAGAGGTGAGGAGGCTGGTAAGGTAGACAGGGGCCAGATTATAAAGGATGTTGCATGCCACGCTAAGAAGTCTGGACTGTAGATAATAGGGAATTTTAAAGCAGAGAAATGACATGATCACATTTTATTCTTAAAGAAAAATGGGCTAGTGTGGAGGCTGAACTAAAGGGGACAAGTGATTTAGGAACATGTTCTATTTGTAAGCCAGGTACCAGAGCCTTGCCAGTTCCACAGAATGGAAAAGTTGAAAACTTCCACAAAATTTCTGCAGATTCCTGGGATTTATGACCTCATGTTCTCTTGCTTGTGGTTCTTGTGGACTCTACAAGCCTTCTCTGTTTTGTCTCCATTATGCCTGTCACAGAACTCAGCTCCTTCATCAGCTTCCCCAGGAAATTCTGTCACAGCAAGCATTTTGTAAGTTTAGAATCCTTCTAGAGATTGCAAGTGTTAGGGAGGAGTTATATTAGGGCATGTCACTAGCTTCCTATCCTTCTCCCATCTCTGCCCTTCTTCCTTCTCCCTAGATTGCCATGACAAGATTGTGGTGCCTCTTACTATAGATGGTTTCTTACCATCACCACAGATCATTTTTTTCCTGCACATTTTTTTTTTTGAGTTGGAGTCTCACTCTGTCACACAGACTGGAGTGCAGTGGCTGCTCCCGGCCATTGCAGCCTCGACCTGCTGGGCTCCTGCGATCCTTCTGCCTCAGCCTTCCAAGTAGCTGGAACTGCAGGCACGCGCTACCACATCCGGCTAATTATTTATTTATTTATTATAGAGATGAGGTCTCGCCAAGTTGCCCAGGCGGGTCTCGAACCCATGGACTCAGGCAATCCACTCACCTCAGCCTCCCAAAGCGTGGGATTACAGGCTGAGCCACCGAGCCCGGCTTCCTATACATTTTTACATCTCCAAAATTGGGATATGTTTTACAAATGATGGTGTTTTAGATTAAATTAAATATCACATAAAGAAATGAGGTGGTGATATCAGCAAGATGGTGGAATAGGAAATCTCAGCTTCTGTTCCTCCACAGAGACACCATCTTAACCACAATATATAGACTAAAATACCTTTATGAGAACTCTAGAAACCAATTAAGTTTTAGTGCCCTAGGCAAGCATGAAGCCAAGAAGAACCACATTGAAATAGGTAGGGAAATAATTTCACTTTATCCATGACTGTCCCTCCCCCAAACTGGCACAGTTCAGTTTGAATCACAGATTCTCTTTTGGGGAAGAAACAAAAGACTGAAACATGCGTCCACTGTTCTGGCTTTTTGGACGGCTGCCCAAGGACTGGTTCCTCTCTTGCTTAACTTGGAATGCTAATGGTACTAGAATACTTTGGATGCCTGGGGTCATTGAAAACAAGGCAGAGTTGGGGATGGGAATGAGGGGAGGTGCAACTTGCTGTAGCACCAGTGCCATATACAAAGCCAGCACACTCAGCACAATTGGGAGAAGGTTCCCAACTTTTGACTTATCCCTTAGGAGGGAGAAAGAAGTGTAAAGTATGTGTCAATATTCAGTGTTTTTGGAGAGTTGCCCAAGGTACTGGTATTTGCTGCCTAATTCAGGGTTCTAATGGGGAGCCAACATAATTTACCTGGAGGAGCGGGGGCACTAAACACAAAGTAGAGCAGGGAGACACTGTCGTAGTACCTGCAGAGAACCTGCAGTACCTCAGACAGACTCTAGAGGGAACAGGAGATTATGAGCACCTGAAAACAAAAAAAAAACAAAAACAAAAACAAGGAAATCTCATTAAGTGGGAAATTACAGGCACAAACCCCAAGAAGTCACATACTCCCAAAAGGATTCAGAGGCTCCCAGACTCTAGCTGGGCTGGTTATTAAAGTTCTTCCCTTGTATGAAACCAGTCTGTTAAAAATTAGATAAATGGGCTGGGTGGGGTGGCTCAAGCCTGTAATCCTAGCACTTTGAGGGCCGAGGTGAGAGAATTACCTGAGTCCAGGGGTTCGAGACCAGCCTGGGCAACTTGGTGAGACCTTGTTTCTATAATAAATCACATAAAAAACTAGCTGGACGTGGTGGCGTGCGTCTGTAGTTGCAGCTACTTGGAAGGCTGAGGCGGAAGAATCGCCTGAGCCCAGCAGGTGCAGGCTGCGGTGGCCGTGAATGTGCCACTGCACTCCAGCCTGGGTGACAGAGTGAGACTCTGACTAAAAAAAAAATTAGACAAATGATGTTTGAATAAAACAACAATATCAACAGAGATAGAAATCAAAACCAACAATAAAAAAGAACCAAACAAATTCTGAAACTGAAGAATACAATAACTGAATTGAAAAAATTCACTAGAGGAGTTCAACAACAGATATAATCAAACAGAATAAATAATCAGGTAACTTGAAGACAGGTCATTTGAAATTATTGAGTCAGGCCAGACACAATGGCTCACGCCTATAATCCCAGCACTTTGGGAGGCCAAGGTGAGAAGATTGCCTGAGCTCACGGGTTCAAGACCAGCCTGGGCAATTTGGCAAGACCTCATCTCTACCATAAATCAAAAAATTAGCTGGGTGTGGTGGTGCATGCCTGTAGTTCCAGCTACTTGGAAGGCTGAGGTGGAAGGATTGCCTGAGCCCAGTAGGTTGAGGCTGCAGTGGGTGTGAGTGTGCCACTGCACTCCA